TTGGTGGAAAAGGAAAGTGAGCTGAAATAGAAGTGTTGGCTGAGTCATGAGAAGCAGTTAGTCTTTGGTTTTCTTTTTATTAATGGAGTGAATGGTAATAGGTGCGAGATGGACATCTGGAGAATCGGTTTCGGCGGCTTTGACGGGATACAGCAATTACTCTCTGCAAGGAGCCACATGTGTTGACATTCCATGTAAACCACCGATAATATACCCTCCATCTGCGAGTAAAGTTGGAAGCTTTGGTTTTGTTGCTGTGCCACGGTCGATTCTAGCCCACCTGCTTACTCGTGATGGCTAAGCCAGAAGAACTCTCTTCCCCGAAAAGGAGGTAGGGTGAAAAGAAATAGACAGAATGTCGCCCCAACCAGAATGAATAGTTCGTTGTGAAGTGCTTCATACCTAGTATATTTAACTGCGTGAATCCACTAAACTTTCCACAGACGTATCACGAAGCAATGCTCACGTCACTTATACTGCTAGTCTTCACCCTCCGAATTCCTGCAGAGAGGCTTCAACGATAACTCAGGTCCAAGTTTAGTCAAAAAATGAGAAGGCTTGTTAAGGTCAGTTCATATTTAGACTGAACTACTCATAAAACAAAAGATTAGTGTCAAATTGGGATGTGCTTTAAAAATACCGACGTATCTCCGTTTCCCGTGAGGCTTGAGGAACAAATTTCCTATGATTCGAGAGTTGTTCTTAAAGCGTGCCTGCAGGACCTTGTTTAAGGAAGCCTGACCCTGTTAGATGACATAAATGCAATTTTTATTGTTAATATCACAAAGGAAGGTGCATGTCGGACGAATTTGTCTGTGAGAAGCACATCACGAACATTGATTCCTCACATAAGGGCTGTTTGCTTATTGAAGGGTTTTGAATGAACTGGAGTGCAACGCTGTAGGGAGGAGAGTGGAGAGGGAAGAAACAGGCAGTGATTTTACAATTACTTAAGCATGTTAACCAGCTGTTGCAGGAACGCCCACATTCGAGTTGGATGTAAATGACGCTCAAGTCATCCAATCGATTAGATGCGGCCTATCGATCCAAAGCAGTAGCACCCACGAGAAGTGATTGGAGTGATCAATACAACTTTGTAGCAAAAATCCACAACAGCGGTTACTAAAGTGTGCAAACATTTCCTTTGTTCATTCTTTCATTTTAGTAGGGCTTCCTCTACTTCAAATATGACGTAAAATGTGATCGAGTAGGACACAAACCGTTCCGCATTATGTTTGGATTTTATCCCAATTTCTAGTAGTGCAAAGCCTTAGAGAAGGAAAGTACGCAAGGGTGAAGGAGCAAGAGGGTTGCAGGAGATGGCATTTTTAGATGGACATGTGGAATGGTCATAAAAGAGTTCACATTTCTACCAAAGCATAAGCAAACTCTTGGCCTTGTTGGGAAAGAAGACATGTGTGGCTGATTTGTGCTGTCATTTGACATCAGCGTGATGCCGTCATCAAGAAGTATTTGCAGGTGGTAAATACTCTCTCTCCGTGCCCCTCTCTCTACATCCCTTCCTCGCACCCACCCCTTCTTCCTTCTTTGCCACTCTCTACCATTTGCTGACAGTACCTACACGGGGTGGATCCGGCACCCGACAATGTTGGGGCGTGAAGTTCGAACACGCGCTGAAAGCGTAGCAAGGACATGCCACAGGAAGACGCTACGTCATCGAGGATGGTGGCCCTTTGCATTGCCTCCATCTTCAAGATAGGCGCCAACACAGCAGTCTAAATGGACTTCCTTGCCCTCAACTTACTGCGTCGGCGGCTTTGACGGGATACAGCAATTACTCTCTGCAAGGAGCCACATGTGTTGACATTCCATGTAAACCACCGATAATATACCCTCCATCTGCGAGTAAAGTTGGAAGCTTTGGTTTTGTTGCTGTGCCACGGTCGATTCTAGCCCACCTGCTTACTCGTGATGGCTAAGCCAGAAGAACTCTCTTCCCCGAAAAGGAGGTAGGGTGAAAAGAAATAGACAGAATGTCGCCCCAACCAGAATGAATAGTTCGTTGTGAAGTGCTTCATACCTAGTATATTTAACTGCGTGAATCCACTAAACTTTCCACAGACGTATCACGAAGCAATGCTCACGTCACTTATACTGCTAGTCTTCACCCTCCGAATTCCTGCAGAGAGGCTTCAACGATAACTCAGGTCCAAGTTTAGTCAAAAAATGAGAAGGCTTGTTAAGGTCAGTTCATATTTAGACTGAACTACTCATAAAACAAAAGATTAGTGTCAAATTGGGATGTGCTTTAAAAATACCGACGTATCTCCGTTTCCCGTGAGGCTTGAGGAACAAATTTCCTATGATTCGAGAGTTGTTCTTAAAGCGTGCCTGCAGGACCTTGTTTAAGGAAGCCTGACCCTGTTAGATGACATAAATGCAATTTTTATTGTTAATATCACAAAGGAAGGTGCATGTCGGACGAATTTGTCTGTGAGAAGCACATCACGAACATTGATTCC